ACACGCCGAATTTGGATTTTGATGTAAACAAACAGGTGGATGAGAAAAATTAGTATTATGTTGAGTATCTTTTATATCACGACATTGTGTAGCATGATGACAAGGAGGAAGATTTTGAATACATGAATCACTTAGAGTTATTGTTCCATTTGGTAATTTCTGTAGAATTCGGTATGGTCCACTAGCTCCATTGACACAAATTGTTTTTGGTGGATATACAATCAAACCATCGAGTATCTCTTTAAATGGAATAAAATTTCCTCTTGGATTAATTCGATTGCCTGTATTATGATCATCAATAATAGCAAAATAAATCTTTTCAAAATATCCGGCATATTGATAAATAACTGATTTGAAGAGTAAAGCAACATGTTCAGGTGGATTTTTGAAAGCTCCACAACCAAGAGCTGACAATACTAAACAGTCATGTTTATGATGATGACCTATGGCAAATATATTCTCGATTTTTTTGTACGTATTTGTTGCAAATTTATTTTCTAACATATTCTTTTTAGTTAATACTGGTTCTCGATAGGCAGCCATAGCAATAGAACAAACATTATATAAAGGATCTTTCATATAAGGATAACCTTGAGCTTCTGTTCCACGAAATACAGTTATACCAGATGTGTAAATAGCTCCAAATTCTTCCATTGGATACAACTCGAAATAGCCACTTGGTCGTTTTATGTCATATTTTGGTGTACAATAAAAACGTTCTGATCGATCTTTATCAGCTATTTCGAGATCAAGACTTTGATAATAATCTGAACGACGAAAAAGATTTTCTTCTTGTGCTCCATCTCCTTTTCTGTATCCACCTCCTGGGTTAGTCGCATTAGCCATATTCAATAATAGAGGTCGATGTCCTTCGCTGACTAATTTCTCGTAAAGAACTAGACAATCTTCATTAGTTACGATGACACTTGTTGATGAATATGGTTTCTTCAATTCTGTTTCAGATATTGTTTTTCCATGGAATAATTTTGATCTATGATCATAGAGAATTGTTTGTAGTCGTTGAAGTTTTAATTTCACTTCTTCACCGTCTACAATGTATTTTTTCTTTCGAAGAACACCAATTGTATTCAACATAACTGTAACTCGTAATAAATGTCGATCGAGATCATATTTTCGTAAACGTCGATCTGCCGTATCTAATTTTTTCATTTGTTCAAGCCAATTTTCTGCATTCCACTTATACCGGAATATTGGATGTTGATGATCACTGATGATGGTCACTATATCAGGCTTTATATCATGCATCTTTGTTTCATACCAGTTACCAGCATCAATTTCACTTGCATCTGGGTCACTAGCGATACTATGTGGTGTAATATCCATAGTCACTTTTCCTATGCGCAGGGCTCCAATGCCTAAGCATTCTTCATAGTTCTTCATATCATCGAGTTCTATAATGAGATGATCTTTGATATGACTATGTCTCGCTGTTCGATATGCAAACAATTTGTGATTAAGGATAAGATCAATATCAAAATCAAGAGGTACAGGAGAAACAACAACTCGGTAAGCAAGTTTTATCTTTTTCGGAATATTTCGTCCTTCGATTGTTAAATCATTTTGCTTCATCCATTTTTTGTTAGACTTTGTTGCCAAGACCACTGCATTACCTGTCTCTTTATCATACTGTACGTAGAACGATGTAGGGGCGAGTTTTTTTTCATCGATTTGAGCAGCAATGGCGGATGAAATCTTTTCATCATTGATATTTGGCGGCAAATCTTCAAAAAAACTACAATCAGCACGCGGATAAACAACAGCGAACACAGTATCGATTTTAAAATCTGGTGCATTAGCCACTTTGGCAAGCTCTTCTAGTGTTGGCGATGATATACGAAATATGTTTGGAAACTGGATTGATACCGGTTCACATGGACGAGGTTCTGATGTCTTAAATGCTTGCATATAACGAAAAGATATGTCGTCGGTAGAAGGAATTTTCGGTATATTTCGATCGACGACTACATAAGAATCAAATTCGACTTCATTGACAAATGTTATGTTTGTGTTAGTTTTTGGATCAAGAACCGTCGACACAACAGTAAAAACAAGATATGATTTGTCCTCTTCATTCATTAGCCGAATTACAGCCACACCGAGTTTTAAGTAGCATTTAACATCGTTGATTTTTAAACGTAGCATAGTCTCGATACGAGTTTTAATCATTCTCTCGAGATCATCCTCTGGAAAGTTGGTTGGTATATCTTGTATGTAAACTTGTAAATCTTGATCAGAAGTGGGTGCGACAGATGGGGCTAGATTTTGTGAAGCTTGTGCACGTGCACGTCGGCTAGATGAAGGTCTGGGTTCATCTGATGCTTTAGCCGGTGTTTTCAATTCAAAACTATTGTTAGCCATAGTCGTATATCACTAGATTTCAATCTAACTTCTTATAATAACACCTAATTAAAATGACAACAATTATAATAATGAACATTTGAATTTAAAGATTTATTCTCTTTGAGAATGAGTGAAATGAACTCATTCAATTTATAGAAACATTGTCGATTAATACTGGGGAATTATTTTCAAAACTGATGGAGAGAGAACATTGCTTTATCTTTGACAAGTGGATGTGGATGTGGCTTTGTTCAAACGAAAGACCAACAACCACACCCACCTACATCTCCCACATCCTGCACCCCTTGCTATAAGCGATAAGTCAGAGTTTAGCCACTTATCTCTGAGGTCTGTGCATCGGCGTCTACGTTAGTAAGGCAGCAGCTATTCAATTTATACATGTCTATACCCTACAACTGAAAGTATCAATTTGTGGAAACTAGGTGAATGAGTCCGTTAGTTGAATCATTGTGTTTTATGTAAGAGCCTACAAAATATTTGCCGTTTTCGACCAGATCTGAGTAAATCTGGCAATGCATTAGATCTTCGAAGTCTTACTGTCAGGTTTCTATCGTTGTCCGAAGTTTTCAGCCCCCCGGACCATTCGTCCCTACGACACCTAGAAACACTGCAGATCAATAAGTACCGACGGTTCCAGCAGCAAAACTACTCAAAATCAATGATAAATGAAAACAGTGTGCATCTATGGTAAAGATACTAAAATTTTCCGGTAATTTTCTGCCTATCTCCAATGCTTTCAAGTCCAGTGATACTGCTTGCAAATTTCATTCATCTTCCGTATTTTTCCGCTGTGTAGGGTGACTGTTTTTTGACTGTTTCCGGAAGCCACAACCAGCCTTCTGAGAAGAAGTATTGAAGCGTATGATATGTGAATTTGGATCTCCCCTCAGCCAACAGACGCGACAGAAGCCTTCGTAACGCCTGTTCATGGCTTCAAATTATGCTAGACACTAGAATCATTTTACTGTTGAAAGAGTTAACATTTTAATTCTGCTGGGATTGTTTCCTCAGTCTCTTTTTATAAAGTTAAACTCTAAACAGTATGTAGATATGCTTAGACAAACTCGGATTTAGTTCTGCAAAAGCGAGGTTTTCCTATTGTGGCTACAAGTTAACTAATATGCATGTTTATCGTAATTGAATACACAAATTCCTTTATGAAATTCATAAGAAAAAGGGAAATTCGAATAGCTTTTCCAACCTTTAGGCATTCTTATCTTGGATTTCAAATTCTAGTCCAAAGATGAGTGTCAAAATTTATGTTTAAAAAAAATGTAATTTTCCATAAACCAAGTAATTGTCTACGTACTTTTTTAATAATTGATTAATATAGTAGTCAGTGTGAGTCTCTAAGAAAGAATTCGTGTTGTACAGCTTCTTATAGTGATGAAACAAAAACAACTATTGTAAATTTCCAATTACATTTCAATATGTCACTGTCACAACAATTCTCTTGAAGAAACAACATATTCTTTTAGGAACCAACGCAAGGAAGTAGAAAAAGAAAGCGACATAGCAACCAACAACAAAAAAATATAACCTGTCATGCTTTTACGAAACTTCCATTGTTTTGAAAGTAATGAATGAAGCTAAGAAGAAAAAAATGCTACGTGGCATAGCAGAGTGAGAATAGCAACGGAAGAACATTAGACTTGGCACATTTTACTTTCTGTTTCGACTGCTGCAAACTTTGCCTGAAATATTTTTCTTTCTGTCTTCACAGAATTTTGTAAATTGGAAGAACAGTTATATTTACATAAAGTTTCGATTGATTCTTATCCAATCGACGAAACCAATTGCTGCACAGTGAAATAAAGTGTGTCATGTCGTCGCTGAAGGCGATGTGTTGCAACAAGTACCATGTGTCACATTTTTATGTGCTGTGCATTATGTTGTAAACTGCAACATATGCAGCACATTTTGGTTCAATTTCAACTTTTTGCGTAGCACACAAAAAACACCATTTTCATTTCGGGATGGGTGTGGACCTAGATATAGTGTGAGCATTCTTTCCATTCATATCCACACCCACACCCACACCCCAAAATATTTCGAAATGAGGCTTCATTCAACTTCTGGTTGACACGAATTCGATTATGTCAAAGATTCAAACGATAAAAAAGGAAATGACAGAGTTTATTTGATTATGTCGAAATTTCATTGATATGATTCAATCAACAACATAACATTGCAACCATGATAAATACATCTAATGAAATTAAAGAAAAACAAAACTTGTCATTCATTTTTTGATACGAATCTTTGTTTTTTTTATAATAATCATTCATCATGTAGTACATTCATGTTTGTTGTGCAAGAACGAGCAAAAGCAAGCTTTTATTGAGATAGTGTCTTTTTTCTTTTACGCATAACAGTAACGATCACGTACAGAATAAAAAAATATTTGTTGATTTTTATTCGTATTTTTCACTGCAGTTTTTAGATCAAATCTGATTATAATTATTAATTAATATATTACGATAACATGAGCAATAATCAGGTACGTTTTTAAATCGTAATGCTTATATATTATTATATTTGTTTTTTTTGATTTTCAAATCTCATTTATTTATTATTGTGTGTTTCATTGAGTGTAGTGGCCAACTCCTTTCATGTTTATGATGCACAATTCATCTGGTCGTCTTAATTTCGATGTTGTCAAACCCGAAAATAATTATCCATCGGTAGTTTCTCAACAGAACCTATTTGCTACTTCAGCTGACATTGTCCAAAAACGGACTCATGAAGCGATTAAAGCCGCGACTGAATCGAATTTAGAAATTACCGATAAAAAACAAGAAATAAGATCATTTATTCAACATATTAATGTAACATGTGATGGATGCTCTAAATCACCAATAATTGGTGATAGACATAAATGTATGTTTTGTCCAAATATAGATTTTTGTCAAGATTGTAAATCATTGACAAATCATCAACATGACTCAAAACATCCATTAATCTGTATTCGTGATTCAAGTCTATATACATCATCGATTTATATTCAGAACATGAATAAACTCATACATTTCAATACTAGTTGTGTATATTGTTCTGTATCACCAATCATTGGTATACGATATCAATGTATACCATGTGGAATAAATTTATGTGAAAAATGTGAATTTCTTTGTTTACATGATGTTTCACATAAACGTATAAAAATTATTCTTCCTGAATAAATAAAACATTGTTTTGTTTTGGATTTGTACTGATGACTTTTTTATAATTATATTTTAATAAAGATATCATAAACTAAAAATGAAATCATAATAATACAAACAAAATTTGAAGCATATGTCTATAACATCAAGATGACAAATACTTATTGTAAAATAGTTTTATGCGGATAATGAAAAGCAGAGTTGTGTTAAGTGCTTGTACAAGAGAGTGCGCACTTTTTAGCTATGACGAAAGCCGTATACTTTCAGAACAATGGATAGAGCTCAAGGGAAGAGTAAGACTCCGAGAATGCGTACTCCGCTTGTACTTCACCTGTCTCTACTAACTGCTGCAAGCTTTTGACTTCATACTTTATACGTAAGTGGGACTTCATGGGAATAGAAAACCCTAAAACGATTCGTCACTGTAGGTCTAATCGGTTGTGAGTCGAAGATTTCATTTTTAGGGCGAGAAGCATGCATATAGAAGAGACATTTTAAATGCTAAATGAATTATTTTATATTTAAAGATAGAAATGTAATTATTTATCAGAGGGTGTGGCTGTGGGGTAGGTGTGAGTCGGTGTAGCCGGTGAACAAAAAAGTTATACCCGCACCTTATTCGTATTCTCTTCTCATGTAGTACCAAAGAATGCAGTAATCACCGTTTTAAAAATTGAACATTTTTTTCATCCATGTTTTATCGTTTATTTTCTTCACTGAACGGTATAATAATTTTGCAATTCACCCATATATATAGAATATATGATTCGATTTAGTGTTGGGTTAGGCCTCGAAGGTGAAGAGATGTTTTGATATTAAACATATCTATAAGATGTACCGTTTGAGCAAGAGCTGGCTTGGCCAGACCGGAAAGGGTGTGAATCTAGGTATATTCTTTAACCACACCCACGCCCGCACCCTGTTTTCAATGTTTTTTTTTATAAAACGATTTTCTTAACTCTGTCCAACCCAATCCTAACTTAGACATCAACTTCACTTCTATATTCTTTTTTTTTACTTAGAAGAGTTTTCTATGATTATCCTTAAAAGCATTCGATTAAATTTCCATGAAATTTCATCTATAGTCACTTCATTTAAATTTCTTGGAAATATGAATTTACCCTCGGATGGATAATTTTGAACCTATCAGATTAAAATATATGTTGGTATTTTTCTAAATTGATTTTCGATGAAAGACAGAGAAATAGGTAAAGAAAGAAATAGAAATGATATTATAATCTAAGAGTCTTTGTAAATAAAAATCGCAAGAATAAATACACTGAAAAAGCAGAGAAAACTCGAACAGTACAATCGATAGAAAAAATACTTCGAAAAGTAGAAAACATGGCAATTTTTTTAGAGGTTCTTTTTGGAATGCTCACTCCTTGTTTCAGATCTTGTTGGCCTCGGGTGATCTTGCCACATTACCAGGAAAACTAACACGATTTGGGCCAGTTGCACAAATCGAGAACGCTTCCGTCACACTTGGACTGTACGTCGTGACAACCAAAATGTATGTAGCACCAGCCTCAAGATTAACTGTGAATTGAAACTGACTATTGCCACCACTGTCATCATTTTGTACAAGTAAATTCGACGATGGACTGGATGAAACAAAATAGTTTTGGTAGAGATTACCATAAAGATCAATGTTGCTGCTACTGGTGAAAGTGTAACAGCCTGTGGTAGACATGGTCATCTGAATTGCGGCCTAGTAGTTTGATGCTGGATTACTTGTACGATTATACGTTGAACTATTGCTTGTTAATGCACTTGAATAGCATGAAATAACAACAGACGGAGGACATGTTAATACTGCAAATACCGAATGAAAAAGTAAATAGAGAACATTGAACTGATTTGGCAAAAAAATCTGTTTTGTTTTGAAACAATTCTTCATTTCTCCTTTCTATTAGATTAAAAACGAGTTCGAAGTGCATTTTCTACAATTGAACGAAAATGTGATAATACATTGTTTGATTGAACTTCCATTTTTATCAACTTCAAATAGCAGTAATTTGTTAGAGCAAAGTTGGAAACAATGAACTATACTCGAGTAAGAAATTGATATTAGTTTTCTTAGAACACCTAAAAACACACATTTTACTTGCTGCTGTCCGAATATCAAACTATTTCAAGAGTTGTCGATATCTTGTCAATCTAGAACACCAGCCCCCTCATAGTTCATATCAATATAGGGTCAATTTCAACACGATGCTAGCTAGTCCATTATGTGTTCTAATAAACAGTGAGACATTATTCTAGAGAATGAAGAAAGTGAGATCGAAATCTTGATAGATCTATTTGTTGTTGACATAATTTTAGCATTGATCTATCCAGATAAAGACCTACTTTGCTCTTGTCTCATTTATTCTGCAGTCTTAGACAAAATCAAGAAGATATTCATGATCAACAACGAATTCTAAGTTTGATAAGAAAATAAGTTTTCGTGCCTGCTTGAGCCAACATTCATGCTGCATAAGTAATAATATTCCATCTTAATAGCATGTATGGCACTTTATTCTATTCAAAATTCGATACCGATCATGAACATAGGCTTGATTTTCGCTTAAAAATTTGAGATAACAGAGAAACAAATCTCCCTTTAGAATATATCGATGTCAAAATAATCGAAACGACAAATATGTTGCCAGAAATTCTGCTAAAGCTATTCTGATCAATATTTTTCTTGGTCCCACATAACTTTCTGTTGTAAATTGACAAGGTCTCAAATGTTTATTGCACTCGTTACCACGAGAACAAGCTCATTAAAAATCGGTTTTAACATGGATAATCATCAAGATGAGGATTGATTTGTAGATGTCCTAGAAATCGTCTGTGTCACAGTGTTCTTAACATAGTTTTGGCACTCGAAGAGGGTCAATTATGAATTTTGGAAATGTTAGCTACCATGAAAGCATGGGGAAACTCATGCAATAAATAATGGTAACATTAGTTAAAGCGCTGTTGAGAGCTATTCTACTCACCCGTCGTTGTTATTGATGTGGTGCTCATGGAACCGAAAGCAACACTAGCTGGACCGGATACAACAACTGAGAATGCTTCCGTCACATTTGGACTGTACGTCGTGACAACCAAAATATACGTAGTACCAGCCTCAAGATTAATTGTGAATTGAAACTGACTATTGCCACCACTATCATCATTTTGTACAAGTAAATTCGAAGACGGGATGCATGGATCGAAATAGTTCTGGTAGAGATATCCATAAAGATCGACATTACTCTGGCTCGTGAAAGTGTAAGTAGCCGATGTATCTACTATCACCTGAACTGTATCGTAGTAGTAGGTTGAATTTAGTAAACCACCGGGACGAATATATGTTAAGCTACTGGTAGGCAAGGCCGATGCATAACTCGAATTATTTACCAATGCATTGACTATTCAAAAAAGAAAAGACAAACTGTTAAGACCTGTAACATTGGTAAATAGCTAGGATCTATTTCTGATATTTTTCATGCCTAAGCCTCGCCGCCCATCTCAGGAACTGATATAGGCTTTCCAAGGTTCGATTAAGCTCAAAATTTTTGTAGATATCAACCATGGCTAGGAAGAACTATTATAAAAGTTTGATTCAATCAAAACTTTGTATTTGGGGGAAAAAATCTGGGCTACTGTAGAAGTAGGCTCCATTGGGCACCATCTTGAGGATGAGGGTGAGGATTAGTAGCTCTCAATATAATGGAAAGTGGCATAAATATTGGAATAATTTATTTTGTAAACTTAAAAAATAGCTTTCTCTTCATTGTCTGTCATGTAATAAAAGTTTCCATTGCTATTTTAATATTCGAAAGCTTTTTTTTTCAGAAACCAGTATCATATGATATTCCCGTATAGACTAGTAAACGTTGTTTGTTGGGATGTCGAACCATAGTGAAAAATGATATGTCTATTTTTTCAAACTTCTTACATTGTTGGCCTGATGGTACACTAACACTGAATTGGACAAAGCGGATAACGATCATCACCAGCGCACTGTGGATAAATTGCATGAATTTCATTGTGTTGTCGCTATCAACAAAGATCAAAAATAAAAATGTGTCTAGTTCTCGATGGTTACTCTCTGTTTATTTATAGGTATATATGTTTGACGCAAATTGCGCCCATACCTCCCAAGACCTAATTATTCATCCATCCAAAAGATGAAATTGCACAAAAATTGATTTTTTTTGAATAATTGAGAGTGTCTCATATCTATTTTTAAACTCTATGATATTCTATTTGAATCGATTAAATTGCGCGACACACATATTAAAACTAACCCTTCATATACATATCTGGATTTGCGCACAGTATATTCATTAAGCTATTAAGGTAAACAAGCATAAAGACCAAAAAAATATTATTTTTGACACCTGAATGAATATACTACGCAAATTAAGATATATACGACGATTGTTAATATGTATATCATGCAATTCAATCGATTGAAATAGAATAGCATTAGATTTAAATATCGATACGAATCGCTCTTAACTATTCGAAATCCAAATATTGCGCAGCTCCTTTTTCCAGCTGGATAAATAGTCAGACACGAAAGAACATGCGCAATCGACGAAAAAGGTGCACACTAATAAGCAGAGAACGAGAGCAATCATCGAGAATCAAATATATTTTACTATGCATCTTTGATGACAACAGCGCTACGATGAAGGCAATGCAATGCACACAAGGTGCCGCTAATTAAAATTTGAACAGATGTTTTTTAGTTATTTATTCATCGTTGGAAAGTGTGGGATTGGGTAAGGACAGGTGGGTGAGTGGGTGTCGGCGTGGATGTGTAGGGTTGGGCATAGATAAAGTGAAGGCAAAAAGTCACACCTTGAAGCCTTCTGGTTTGCTCCACAGAGACGAGACATAAAAAATATATAGGGTTTTCTAGCGTCATAGATCACGACGGAGAAACAGACACAATGATAAAAGTTCCCTGTGTCACAGTGATCTTGAGGGTGTGGGTGAGTGGAAATGTTAATCTTTACTCATGAAAAATCACATTC